GCTCTACACTCTCTTGCCAGCTCATACTCAGCCTGTGTCAAATGATTAAATGTTCTTGTTACTCCCAAGTCTGCCTCAGTGACATAACTGAATGTCTACCCCACCATAATCTTACATAACATGATGCTTCTTCAAGGGGGCTGGCTGCCTAAAACCGGTTGGATCTGAAATGGTTACCAGAGAAACTTCAGACAATCTCTAGCTTTATTATAATTCTATCTGAACGCTAAATGACACACCTTCAGTGCCATGGCAGCTGATAATTGCTATGGTGACAACTGGGGAAAAAAACATAAAAAGAAGGAAAAGAGAGGCAGTGTTTGAATCCCCCAAAAGGTTCATAACATCCCAGAAAAGACATGAATACTCCTCTTATTTGTTATTCTGTCCCTCCCCCTTACTATTTATATTTGTAAATATATAAATATTACAAAGGGTTAAGAGACCGAGTTTCAAGTTTATTGCATATTCTTGGCCAAGAATAAAAATCTTTTTCGTTGTTTAATTGGTGCTCAATCTTGTTATTGGTTCTGGGATGAAAAAAGAATCCAGTTTGGGGATAAAACATGTTAACATACTTCCACCAGGTTCCCTCTGGAGTCTAGAAGCTTCTCTCTCAGGTCCCTGCAGACACCTACCATGTCTCCTTAGCTTTGGCTGACCTGGGACTTCAGCTTTCTGAATGGCTCAAAATGACAACTGTGAAGTTAATATTCCTATAAATATGGAAATTATATCTTTCCCAGCTCTCTAGATTCCAAAGCAGGAGCTGCAAGTCAGACATGGGGCTTTATTTTAAATCCCTGTCTTTCAGTTTCCAACTAACTTAACTATTAAAATGGCCATTGAGTGTCCCTCTGTGATCTCTGCTCCCAGGAAACTGTTATATACCAGTCAACACCAGTTGGGCCCACGTTAAGTCTCAGACACAGGAAGCCAAACTACAGGTGAACCTGTTGGCAATACAAGCTTCCCCTTATTGAGTAAATTTTTGCTATTGATGGAAAGAATCAGTAACTCAGTAATCAGTTATGAAGTGATTCTTATTCTTTTCCAGTTTTCATTTAATTTTCATTACAGTTATAGTAATTATAAAGCCCCATAAATAACTTAGATAACACTTAATTGGAAATGTGTTGGACCGACACAAGGAAAGTCCCTGAAATTCACTAAGGTTCATGCAGCTGGTCTTGAGGAAACGCAGAGCCACTGTGGTCTTAGGCAGAAAGCTTGGAAAATGAAACACAGCACTTTCTAAATTGACCTAAACATTTTAGTTCCTATAGAATTTCCAACAATAGTTTCTTCATGAATGCTGCATGTGTATGTATATGACTTTGTGTGAAAATTTTTAAATCATTTAGCAAGAATAAATATTTAGAATAACTAGAAAATTTGTGATTTAAAAAGACAAGTGAATAGGAGAATGTTTCCCTGATGAATACTAAATGTATTATGAAGTTATACTATACTGTGTTACAGGTGCAAGGAGAGATGAACAGATTAATGGAACAAAAATAGGCTCTAGAAAAAAGCATAAATATATATGAGGACTAGATAGATAATAAATGCACCAATGAAAAACTTCACAGAACCTGGCTTATTGAATAAATGACCTGGAAACTAACATTGGTGGCAGAAAAGACGTATCTATATATTATTCTTCAACAAAAATAAATGCTAGGTAGGTGAAATAAATAAATGTAAATTCTTTTAAAGGAAAGAAAAATAAATCACTCAGCTTCTAGAATAATTTCTTTAAAAAAATCTGTTGCAAAATCCAAAAACTTAAAGAGACTGTTAAACTTGTCTAAAATTAAAAACCTTCCCTGTAGCCAAAATAAATCCTTATTTTCCAAAAATATTTCTGCCATATAAATATTTAGGTATCAAATGAACTGTTTGCATCATATAGACCATGTTTAAATAGTTCTTATAAACAAATAAGAACATAACAAGAACCTCCACAGAAAAATGAGCAAAGATTTGTCATATCGGCAGAGATGTACCAAACAGTGTGGGAAGGAGACATCATGATGGCTTGGAGGATGTCTCCTAGGGCTGCTGTCACCAAGTACCATGAGCCAAATGACTTAAAACAAATAAATTGTCTTATAGTTCTGGAGACTAAGAATCAGAAATCAGGGTGTTGGCTGGGACACCCTTCTAAGGCCTGTCAGGCAGGATCTGTCCCTGCCTCTTCTAACTTCTGATAGTCCAGAATTCATCATTCCAATCTCTACCCAGTTGTCAAGTGTGAACCCTCCTGTGTGTCTACTATCTTTCTTTTGTGTCAGTCTATACAACTTAACTCCATACTGGATTAGGGCCCACTCTAATCCAGTGTGGTCACATCTTAGCTTGAATACATCTACAAAGACCTGTTTTCCAAATAAGTTTGCATCCACAGGGACAAACAACAGTGAGGGTCTGAATTCAACTAGGGTATAAATTGAGGACAGTCTTTCAAAGAGATAGTTGGGCAATATGTTTAGGATCCACTTTCATAAATTTACCAAATACTTTATATGAATGGAACATTTATGTAAAAAGTTTATTGTTTTGTTAAATCAAATCACCATATAAAACCAAAGAAAATGCCAAAAAGCTTTATGTTCATCAAGCAGGGACTATAAGTAAATTCAGAATGCAGACTCATGTATACATGTGAACCCACATTGATATATAAATAGTCAAGATAACTTGTTAAGTGAATAATTCACTTAACAGGTTAGAAAACAGTGAGGTTCCATTAGTATAAAACGCTTAGTTGACTAAAAGTGGTAACTTTGACGAAGAGGATGGCAGAGTCTCCTCCCACTGTTAATTAGCTAATTTTCCAAAACTTTTAAAACTGGGAGCTCATAATTTTCTAACCTTTCTTTATTACTTAAGCAGTTTGATAGTATGTTTAGAATAATACTTTTATAAATTTAATCTAATAAGCTCTTTAAACAAATGAGAAAGTTATGAACCAGTCTATTGCTATTGTTAAAGCACTATATAGAACCACCAAAAAAAATGTCAATAAAGTTAATGTTCATCTATCTAACTGGAATGGAACAGATTTGTACAAGAGAGCATTCCTATGAGGCAGAAGGGACAAGCCAGACTGAAACTATACAGGTGTTCACCACAACAAACTTTACCTTGATATCAGAGTTCTATGCTGGATAATAACTCATATGTAGTATTTAAGATTAGGGCATCTAAGGCTGGAGAGATGGCTTAGTGGTTAAGAGGACTGGCTGCTCTTACAGAGGAACTGAGTTCAATTCCCAACACCCCCATAGTGGCTAACAACCATCACAATTGTTAGCCACTATGTGTTAGTAACACATCACAACTCTATTTCCAAGGGATCTGATGAATTCTTCTGACCTCCATGGGCACTGTGCATAACATGAGTGCACCTACCTACGGGCAGGCAATATACTCATACACATAAAATAAAAATAATAAAATATTTTTTTAAAGATTAGTCCATCTCCACTTTTTAAAAAGTTTGAAAGGCCATAAGGTGACAGAGGTGTGGAACAGTTCAAAGGAACCCACATATAGTACAGAGGTGAGCTAAAACAGGAATGACCCTGCCATACACTAACAAGTCTGAAGTGAGCCATGTCCTACCTGGACGTCCTTCTTCCTCCTTAAGGAGAATAGCAACACTCAGGATTATTAAAAGGGTTTAGTTTTGATAGAGTGTTTGGAAACAGTTGGCAAACTAGAAAATGCCATTCACTCGGTCACTCTCATTCTTCCACTCTTCTTCGTTCCATACATAGTTCTAGGTTCTAGGAACTCATTAGGAAAGACATAAATTCACCTTCATGGAGCTTATATTCTGAACGGAGACAACTGATGACAAACTAAGAAATGTATAATACGGTGACAACATGGTAGGACACAGAGAAACATACATATAACAGTATGTCTAACATATGTGCATACTATGACATGTAAATGTATCATACAGTGAAGAATTATGGAGTATGAAGAAAAATAAGAGAAGGCTCCCTTGGTGGCATGATTGGAGGTGGACTGGATGACACTGATTTATTACTAACAGAAATGTAGGAAGAGAGAATCTTGTCTATCTGAGATTAAAAAAACAAAAAAACAAAAAAACACTTCCCAGCAGAGGGAACAGATGCAGAGCCCTGCATGCTCTTCTAGAAATGAAGGGAGAGGGCAGGAGGAACTGGTCAGACAGGTAGGAGGGCACATGCCTCTGAGGCTAAATACGTTTCAAAGAGGAGTTTTTCTTCCATTGGGATGAGAAGTGTGTTTTAGAAGACTGATATAATCCAGCATCTGTCTTAAGAACATCAGCACTGTATATGGTAGGGAGGCAGAAATCAAACAGGAAGACTCACTGGAGGCTATTCCAAAATTCATGTGAGAAGGCAGGGTTCTGTGAACCTAGGAGGTATTGGTGAAGCAAGAGAGTAGTAAGGTGCAGGTGAATATACCATAAAGGTAAAGCCGATAGGACACCCATGGACTTTGTATTTATGAGAGGAAGAGGGGTGATTCCAACAATTTTAACGTAAGCAACTGCAAGAATGGAGTTTCTATCTGAGATGGGGAAGTTGGGGAGGAATGAGATTAGTAACTAGATTCTGTCTTGGGTGGCAGATGGCACCCAATGTAAGTTATGGTTATACTGAACATATTCATACAAGATAATGAGTGTGCTTTGACAACCAGAGTTATTTTCCTCCTCCTTTACTTCCTCACATTTCTCCCATCCCCTAACTTCACATGACTATCAAGTACTGTAACCTGTGATGGGATTAACATACCTGGGGAGGCGTGGAGAGAGAAGGAACCTCCAGCTGGTGCTCCAGTTACAAATCTTGGCACAGACAGTGGGCACCAGCCTCCACCGTGGGTAGACCTCACCAATATTGGCTGTTCCCAGCAAGAAAACACAGTTTGCTTCGTGAAGCATCCTTCTGATCATTAGAATTTGTTCCAAGGGGTTGAGTGGACACAATTCTAACAGTAAAAGGGTCCCTGGGAGATTTTCTGCCTGCAACTATGAGCTGGAGAGGTAGAAGATCAAGTTCTGCTCTGGGAAGGTTAGAAACATCTCAAGTTAACAGGTAAGGAAAAGTTATCTTTATTTTTTTTTAATATCATAAAATTTTCTAGAATCCTCTTAGCTTGAGGTCTAGGCATAGATCTGTTTACTGTAAAAATGGGCAGTGTAAGGTAACTGTTATGTTGTCAAGGAAGCAGGGGAGAAGATGGAGAGAGATTTGTCTCATTCACTGTGGTTCTGACCACCTCCCCCTCAGCCTGACAGGAACAACACGTACAGCAGTGTTTCCGGCTCTCTGTGTTTAACTAGCTGTTGCTATGGAATTTTTTTCCCTTAATCAGAGCCTCTTCCTTGAAAACTTAATTATACTTAAAAAAGGAAAATTTGAATTTGAGTAAATCCTGAAGATATCATGAAAGCTTTTGATTAATGCAAAGTTAACAGTCTTTCAGAAGCATTAATTGAATAAAGAGAAGACTATTCAAAGGGTTATAAAGATGTCCCAAACCATTTACAGATGCTACAGTCATTAGCTCAGAATCTGGGTGATAAAGGTACGAAATGGCATTTTGAACATTTTGACTTGAGAGCACTTTCTAAGTCAGTTTCTAATTTTTTTGTTCTCCTGACCATGAGGTATCTGCTACCTATCCTTACATTGCCATGAGTCTTTTCCACATTCATAGGAAAATAAGCATTAGAATATTTCCAAGTCAGTCTTCTAGCCTGTCCTTCTTACTTGCCAAGTGTTGATGAAATGCTCATATAAAAAGTGATTAAGCACCTGAGGTGGTGGTACATGTCTGTGGTTTCAGCCCTCCAGAGGCAGAGGAAAGAGAATCTTGAGTTTGAGTCCAGTCTAGGCTATATATTGAGACCCTATTTCAAAAACAACACAAATAAAAAATAAATACCTGATTCATTTCTTCTGAGGTTACATGCTCTTAGCATTGAAGAAAATGTTTCTTTTGACTGTTTATAGAAGCAAGTTGTAAACATAAATTAAATTAGTGATAAGACTAACAACAACATACTTAAACAGTGACCATGTGTTATTTCCCCAAATCGGGTGAAAGGTACCATTAAATTACGGCTCAGATATCAGCTAATCTTGTGGAACCGCAAGAACCCACCTTCAACTCCCAATGCCTTAAACACTTAGAAAGGCAATTAGCTTACAACATAAATTTGGTGGGAAAAAAGCTATTTGATGAGTATGTCAAAAATCCTTTCTGTCCTCCAGTTTGGGCTTCGTCCTCGCATCTGTCCTAGTTACAAGATGCTAACAGCAGCATTTCCGTTTGGAGAATGGAGAAGAGTTATTTCTCACAGAAACCTTTCCCAAAAGCCACACTGTGGGCTTCCACTCACATCTGATTGTCCAGAGTTGAATCATATGATCATGCCTAAACTAAAACCAGTAAGGAGGGTGAGTTACTAAGGTTATCTTTGACCCTTGACCACCCTAGTGGGATGCCTTTGCTCTCATGAAGGCCAGTGCCCCATCACCTATGCAGAGACAGAGCTCTGACACTCAGAGAAGATAGGGGATGGCCTTGGGTGGAAAAGCAGAGGCAGGCATGCCTGTCTTCCACTGCAGCTCTCCTGGTTTCCTTCTTCAGGCCGCTCCATGGTAGTTCCCTTACTTCTCTTCCTCTAAATGCAGCTACTCCTGAGATTCAGCCCAGGCCTTCTTGGTACTCCCTCAAGCTCTCTGCTAGGGAAATCCCATCCAGTCCTCCAGTGTTGAATGCCATCAACATGTTCTAGTATCCCTAGCCTTCTGCGTTACCACCTTCAGCTCCAACGTTTCCTCTGAGCTCCTTGTTTGGACATCTTACTACCGCTTGACATCTACTTTGATGCTTCAGAAGCTTCTCAAATATGGCACATCCAAAGCACTTTTGATATTCCCTTAAACCAGTAACCTCTTAGTGTTTTAATGTTTACTAAATAAGTTTTTACTTTCCTTTCATATCTAGCCTAACCACTTTTTCAATACATTTAATATACTATTCTGAGGGCTCCAGTCTGGAGTAGGTGCTCTATGACATTTGCCAAAAATGATTAAATATGCATGTAAAGGCCCTACCTTGACTGAGAAGCAGACATGTGAAGGTTAGAAAGAGCACAAGGTTAAGGCTGTGTGGGATTCTGATAGAAATGCTCTTTCTGGGCTGCATGGAAGGCAATTTTACAGAACCTTCCAAGTGGGATGATGGCATCAGTTATCCCCAAGTCAGACATCCTCACCTATCTTTTGGTAGGACCTCCCTGAGCACAAAAGGAGTAAAGTAGAATCTTAGTTTACTTGTAGCCTCTGTCAGATGCACTGGCCTCCCCAGTGCTTCTGAGGTCAGTGCTATGTCTCGGGTCACAGTGCACAGTGAGCACTCAACATAAACTGAAATTGTAAAGCATGAAAAGGTTTATTTATCTCACAACAGTGTGAGGCTCAACAATAGTGCGGGCTCAACAGAGATCACCCCTTGGCCTCATCACCTCATGGTCTGTATGACAGTGGCAGGAAGTGTATACAGGAGCAAGCTAATCATTACACTTCAGACAAGGAGCAGAGAGAGGGGGGCAGACTTGCTCTTTTTATAGCAGTCTTCTCTGAATACTCAAGAGGTTCCACAGCACTTCCCATTACCACCACCCTGCGGATTGGACCTTCAGTCACAATGGACTCATAAGGGAAAGACCATATTCAAACCACAGCACTGACTACCATGTTAGGCAGGTAGAGGGCAATTTTTGTCAGCTAATGCAGCATACCATAATAAGCATCAGTGAAACTTTGGTTTCATACAGCAGTATTTATTCACATAGATCTGCAGCTTGGCTGGAGCGACTGGCCTAGACTGGGGCATTCTCGACGTCAAGATCTGGTGGCAGCATTTGGTGGGATGGCTACCCGATATGTGTTCATTTGCATTCCTACAGAAGGTGCAGCAGCTCCCTAGGCAGGCCCTTCTCACAGAGATATCAGAAGCATGGGGAAAACAAATCTTGAAGCCTTTTAAAGTTTACACTCAGAACTAGCTCAGTTCCACTTTGTCAAATTAGTCAAAGTGAGCTATAAGACCAAGACCAAAGTCAAGGGCAATACAAAATGCCTTTCGTGGGAGGAGACACAGAGTTATGGGGCAAAAGGCATGGACAGAGGGAAGGTGAGGAACTGGGGTAATGCAACCTATCCAAAGATACATAGCACATGGAAGACAACAAAAAATAAAGCCCTGGTAGGAGAGAACCCAAGCCACCTAGGGAGGACCTGCATTTCCCACTGTTCCTGGCTGCTTCTCACCACAATTTAAACTACACCCTACAGTTCATTTGCAACAGATTACCCAGTGCAGGCTCCATCCCTCTCAATCCATTTGTTATTTATTCAGTAATGCCAGACTGCTTTCCAGGCGGGTGCCCTGGATGTTGATTCCTCTAGTGTGGTTGTTATGGGAAACATTTCATTTCACATCTGCTGACACAATTTTCCGTCTCTAAACTAAGAGAGAGAAGAGGGTGGGGAGGGAGAGAGGGAGGAAGATCCGTTCTTTGCTGGCTCTGAGGGATAATGAGTAATTTATTCAGAGCTATATACAAATCAGACTATCGTCTTTCAGACAGAATCAATAATACAATTTTAAGCCCACACACATTTACAAATGCTAGCACTCCAGTGCAGCTGGGTTGCCATGGGCAACCAGGGCATGCCAGCTCCTGATCTGAAGCAGGCTGCTGTCTCCCAACCCTGCAAGCACATTCTGCAGACAGAATTCTAGAGAGCCCAGGGCGCTCGTGTTGGCTCTAATCTGGCTGTCCCACAAATGCACCTCTGTGATGATTTGAATTACTTCTTGACTGAGCTGCTTAGCTTTCTTTAAACCCCTGCTTGCTCAGTATCTTTTTGTTTTACCTTCTGAATCTGTGTCTAGGCACCCTGGACCTGCAGAGGGAGCAAGTGAGGGAGTTGTGGGAAGACAGTAGGTGACAGAGCAGATAATGGAAACTTCACTTGTACCACCAGTGGTCCAAGCAGCCTGAGGCCAGCCCAGCAAGATAGAGCCCAGAAAGCAGGAGCCAGTGGTCCTTCCCATTGAGTCAACTTGATGAGGGTACTGGGTGCTGACATGTGTTGGCTGGAAAAAACACAAGAAAGTTGGAGGGGAGGGGGGAGGAGGAGGAGGAGGAAGAGTTGATGAGGGTACTGGGTGCTGACATGTGTTGGCTGGAAAAAACACAAGAAAATTGGGGGGGAGGGGGGAGGAAGAGGAGGAGGTTGAGTTGAGATCAGAGGCGAGTTGAGATCAGAGGCAAGTACCATTAAAAGTCTGTGTACACAGGCAGAAGGAGAGATGGCTCAGCAGTTAAGAGCACTTGCTGCTCTTGCAGAGGACCTGGGTTCAGCTGCTATTACAGAGGACCTGGGTCCA